CGGAGTATCAATTTTTTTCATTCTCTCGCGTCTGTTGTGTCAACAGTCATGCAGGCGATATGTGACTTTGTCACCCTCTCTCCAGGAGAGAGGCTCGCCAAGAGGAAGTTGCGATGTCCCGACGCCGAAGCGATCAGCAGGACATGTTACGTCAAAAAGTAAAAACTACGACGGCCTTGGCTTTCTCGCTCTTACTAACCAAGGCCATCAACATGCAGCACGCGCATCAAAATCAAAACGGGAAGTACTGAGCTCGACTACCCAACATGAGTATGTTCTACACAAGTAGCCGACCCGGTTAAGTAGCGAAGGTGAGGAGACCTCGTTCTCTATTGATTCATGTACCTTTCATTAACAGCAAGCATGCAAGCGCGGTTACTTTTTTCAGGGGTGCTGTTCAAAGTTGGCGGTCGACCTTTGCAGGCAAGTCGAGGAAACCCCCTACATGCGAAACGAAGGCTTGCTTGCGTATATAAGAGAGCAGGGCGTGCCTATTGAATGTGATGAGTCAAGGCGTGACTGCTCTGCAGACGGCAATTGAGCAAAGGGCGGGCGGGAGTGGTTTGCGAAAATGCATGCTGGATGCTGTCAGCCGAAAGCTACATGAAGAATGTGTTAATGCAAGCATGCATGTAACAAGATAGAAAACACCACGACGACAAGAAAACAATAGAGTCACGTGGAGCGTTCTCTATTTCTTCATGTACCTTTCATTAACAGCAAGCATGCAAGCGCGGCTACTTTTTTCAAGCGTGCTGCTCAAAGTTGGCGGTCGGCCTGCTTTGCAGGCACTGGCAGGCAAGTCGAGGAAACCCCCTACTTGAGTTCTGAGCAGTGCCCGATTGTTGCAGCGGGGGCCCCCACCGTCGGTGGGCACTGCATGCATGCGACCTGAGTAAGGCAGCAGTGGCAAGAATAGTGCAGGCAGCGCTCTCCTGAAACTGGCGGGCAGGGGGCATCCGGCGGCCAGGCGGGGACCTGAATTCAGGGCCGACCGAGTTGTCTGTGGCTGGCGGTTGAGAGGCTGCGAGTCTTTGAGGTTTAGGCACCGGGCAAGAGCTGTTGAGGCCTGGGCGGGCGTTCGAATAGCAGTTGTGAGTGCAAAAGCTCGCCGGTGGCGGGCAGTCCGTTTTTTCGCAATAAGGCGTTTGAAAGTCAGGTGGCGAGGCTTAGCGGCAAGGCCGGCCGTCCAGGCGTATTGCTGTGGGTGCAAGCGGGTGCCGGTGGCTGGCAAGGCGAATTGTGCCAGCGTGACTGGCACTCTTTCAGATTTCTGTGCTCAAAGCGTGCGAGCTTATTGCGGCTGAGCTCGTCGGCCCAGGCGTTCTTATTTGCGGGCAAGTCAGTGAGGAGCAGGTGCACTCCTCTGGCGTGAACCCACTGTACGGCAAGCTTGAGGAAGTGGGCTATTATTGGGATGGCCACGCTAAAGAGCTTGTTAAGGTCGGCCTCGCTGGGGTTGTTGTCCGTAGCAGAAGGAAGCGGTGGTGGCGGTGTCGCAGGCCGCTGTAATTGCACCAACTCCCGAGGCAGCAGGCGGAGCCGCCGGGTTCTCTGGGGCCTCCACCTGACCAGGTGAAGAGGCCCCACACGCCAACATCTTCAGCGGGTGGCAATCTCCGCTGCAGCCCGAACTGGGGCACCTGAGGCTGGGATCTCGGTCCGGGATGGGGACCTACAGCGGGGAACAACATGGCTGCACAGTCGAAGGATCTAAACTTCCCCACGCCGACGATCGAAAATGTGGGCCGATCGGCGGATCGCCAAAATGGCCACGGATCAAACATCAAGGCTGTTCTTACGATCGTGAGTACTGATCCCCTAATTCCACACCCACCTAACGGATAATTAGGGAACTTAGGATATGCATGAGCTGTGACTCTGCGCAGCCATCTGACATTTTGTCCTTCTCCGGATCGGCTTGTTCGTCAGTCATCCTGGGGCGGGTTTAGTTGGGCCCTGGCGTCTGTGCATATCAAGCTTTTCTGAATCTTGCGGACTGTTGGGTACAGGTACAACTTTTGACAGAGATTCGAAAGTCGAAAGAGTTCTGATCCTGGGTAGTAAGCTCATTACATCTAAACATCTTCACTACCCGAAACCACATCGAACGCTGCATGGCTCTGAAGTCAAGCCCCGAACAAGCAACAGCTAGCAGCTAGCAACCCGAAACCACGCAGCCACGGGCAGTAGCACTCAATTGCGCTCAGTGGCCGCAGCAGCAGCAGCAGAACTCGTTGCTTCGGGCGTGGCTTTTGGTGGTGGTGGTGGTGGTGGTGGTAGCAATGGGCCACGGGATAGCAGCTGCTGTCGCTCTTATTTCGCCTGAGTCCGCTGCGACTTGGGCGCTAGAGGAACCAACCATACAAACATATCATCTCATACCATATTATATTGTGTTCTCGTATATGACTTTACATTAATATGTGTATACATAGAAATGATAAGCAATACTATATATAGCAGGAAGGTCAGATCTCGGAGAGGCCTGCAGAGCTCATGGTCAGGCGTCTCTGCCACATCCCTGCTCACCTTTGGACAGAAAGCGCGACTCACAGCCATGGGGCGTCTTTCGTTCGAGCTTTCTTGTGCTCAGCCAGCGCGGAGTTTAGCATGTCATCGTACAGTAACCTGAATGAGCTTATACTATATTGTATTACAATATGTAGAGCGCAGCCTCACAGCATGAAGCCACGTGTACGGACGATTAATTATTCGTCACAAGTATTGACAGCACCACTTCCCTCATATCAAGACGGCACTATTGGGGAACCTATGGCCCTATGGGAACCTATGCATCAACGCAGGGTCAGCATACGCTCCAAATTCACACCAATCTCAGAAGCCGGCAGGTACGTCATAGAAACCTTCTCGGACACGTTTCTCCACCATAACCCGAACCTGATGTCTGTGCTTAAGCAGAGGCCAAGATGGCAGATCCACCTACAAATTGCTGCTATCAGTGTGATGATGGCTGTGATGTTGATGATGCTTGTTACCGCCGTATGTCATGCCTCGCTTGTCATCACTTTCTATGATCATCATTATACTCTTTAATGAGATGGAGGGGCTTTCCAGTGTTCGCGGTCGGTGACCTGCGAGCGAAGGCGAGACCTACACACTGACCTGCTGACCCAACTCCCAAACGCCCAACCCAAATCCTCCCAAATCCCAAAACACCGGAGCTCCAGGACACGCCTCCTTGCAGTTTCGGATACTCAAAATTTAGCAAAGCCTCTTGCAACAAGGTAACGAGCGACTAGCCGATCTGGGATTGTCGCATTAGACAAGTTCATCCGTAGTTGCCGCAGGGCGGGCGAGTACGTCTTCTCAAGCCTGCGGCGATAGGGGACACTGTCGCAAAAGTTGTGGTCTACTGCAGTCCGGCCTAAACCCTAAACCATAAGCCCCTAAACCCTACAGCCCTAAACCCTGAATCCCCAACCCCTAAACCATAAACTGTGCTTGCAGATGCTGCTTCCCGGTGCCCTCAATGGGGCATTTCAGGATCTCAACAATGCGAAAGCCATCCCGATTTTCTGTTTGACTAGTTTAGGGTTTAGGGCTCATACTAGATAACCAGAAACTGACAAGACGATTTTTGTACTCTAATTTTGTACTCTAATGTATCGTATCATCTCATGTTATGTTATATGGTAATTTAGTCTAGCGAAAAAACACATCGATGATGAAACAGACTACTGAACCCTAAACCCGAAACCCTGAGAATCAAAGCTTGCTGCAGCTCTGCGGAGTTCAACCAAAGAGGTTATTGAGGTGCAGGTGACAGCGGCAACGACTCACCCTCACACCCTAAACCCCTAAATCCTAGCCCCCTAGCCGCCTTAAAACCCCCCAAACCCTAAACCCAAAACTCCCAAACCCTCAACCCCTAGAATCCCTAAACCCCAAACCCCTCCGAACCTTAAAGCCCCTCAACCCCCGAACCTTAAAACCCCGGAACCTTAAGCGGACCCCTAAGCCCCTGAACCTTAACATAAACCAATGATCCTTAGAACCCCTCAACCCCCGAACCTTAAACCCCTAAACCCAAAACCCTAAAACCCCTAAACCCCAAACCCCCCAAACTCCCAACCTAAACCCTAAACCCTAGACCCTAGATCCTAGACCCTGAACCCTAAACCCTGGACCCTAGATCCTAGACCCTAGATCCTAGACCCTAAACCCAAAACGCTAAACCCTAAACGCTAAACCCTAAACCCCAAAACCCTTAAAAACCCCTCGCCCGGCCTTGCTTGCGCATCTCTCAAGCGCTCCTTGGGGCTCTGTAGCGGCCCTCGCCTGGCTTAGGGTCTTCGGGAATTTGGGACGGTTTAAGTGGTTTTTACGGTTTGTTTTTGGGGGTGGGGTTAGGGTTTAGGGTTCTTGGGTTTTTGCTGGGTTTTGGGGTTTGGGGTTTAGGGTTTTAGGGCTTTTGGGGTTTAGGGGCGGTTTAGGGTTTTGGGGTTTAGGGTTTAACGGTTTAGGGTTTTGGGGTGTAGGGTAGAGGGTTTCAGGGTTTTAGGGTTTAGGGGTTTAAGGTTCAGGAGTTTAGGCTTTGGGAGTTTCCAGGTTAGGGGTTTGGGGGCGGAGCAGCCTTACCAAGTGGTTTTCTACAGATTCAGAGAGCTAAAAGCAATTACAACAACGGTTGCCTAAGCCACCTGATCCCTTGAGCACTATTGTATTGGTCTCAATTCATGGAAGCTGTTCTTGATGCTCTTGTTCCCGAAAAAACACCGGAACATGCACTGTTGCAAACAACATCCCCACCAAGGGGGCGGCTTCAGGGGTTTATGTTTCGGTGCTTCTTTAGTACCGAATGTACTGTTGCCAGTATACATCTAGAATACATTAAAATACCATCGCTTGTTCTGTGCCTGGTCTGTTGAAAGGTTGTTGAAAACTGGGATCGCGAGGATCTGCACGCATGCGATGCGCAAGCGGCTCAAAGAACCCTCGAAAGACCTGATCTTGGATGTATAAAGCCACGCTGCAGCCTGGTTTCAACAGCAGTCCAGCTGCCACCTTGCACAGAGGGATAACATCTTGAGGCGCTAAATGTCAAATAGGGCCTCAAGTGGAATAGGATGGGCTAGGTCCCTCAGCTCAAGTCTACCGCGGGCTGGAAACTGAGGAATTCGCAGCGCGATTTCACCGTGGGACAACTTTGGCTGGACAGTGGTCTCGGCTTGCGCAAGCCTGAGCAGTGCAGGATGCAAGCGGAACTTCGAGGGCCTTGAGCAGAGCCACTGAGTTCTGGGCGCCAGGGGGAGAGCTCCTGCGCTTGTGGAAGCACGCGCCTGACTGATGGTTGGAGATAGTCTTGCAGTGTTGCTATCTCCACATCCGCCAGAACGCGTGCTACCACGGGCCTCCGTTCATGCCACCCCAAGGGTGCCGAATTGGGGCCTGTGCACGTGCGGGCGAGGTTTCTGTGAAGCTGTGAAGATACGCTGGACCGTTGCGGATTCCCAAAATCTGTCAGAGAAGGCAATCTTCGCGAAGATCTAGGGATCTCTCGGGTAGGAGGGACTGACTGAGAGCAACGCGGTGCGGAGGCCGCTTTGGACCGGGAACAGCGGCCGCCTTCCGCAGTGAATACACTCCAACATTCTAAACATTAGTGGAATCATCGCGGTCTCGCACGCCGCGAGATCCCCGTGCCTGACTACAAAGAGAAGATGCCATGTGGATATGTATATATATATATACATACACACACAGAGAGAGACTACGTGAAAATATTAATTACAAGAACAATAAATAAAATATATAGAAACAATCAACTTGCTAAGACCACTACAAACAAAGAATATGACTATTGAGAAGAAGAAGAAGAATAGTACCAAGAATAATAACAGCAATCATAACAATCATAGTGGTCACAACAAGAATATTAGCAGGAGTAATAGCAATAGTAATGGTGATAGTAAGAGTAACGGTACTAGCAATAGTAATGGTAATCGTAATAGTCCTAGCCAGAGAATAACAGTGACCGTGCTAGTTCTAGTACTCGCACCCCTGTTCGTGCTAATACCTATACTATAGTAGTAATACAGCCCTAGTAATCGTCGTAGTAGCAATGGTATATCACACACACATATATATATGTATATACACACACATAAGCATACAGGTACATATACATAAACATACACACATGCACACGTAGCTACGAACACACACATACCTACGTATATCACCTACACTCATGTGTATGTATACCTATACACATACCTATACGCATACATAAATACATACATATATACATACCATACCGTACATGCCATACATACCATACATACCATACATACCATACATACTAACATACTAACATACATACTAACATAACATAACATAGCATAGCATAACATGGCATATTATAACATAACATAACATGTCATATAATACATCACATACATAACATATGTAACATACATAACATACATAAGATACATAATATACATAACATACATACGTATAGGAGGAGATATAAGCGTGTGCAAATTCATTATATATATATATAATTATATATATATATATGCAACCCCCCCCCCGTCATGTACCTACCTTTTTGTGTTCCTTATTCGCATTTTTCCGTGTCAACCCCTTGCGA